TTTCTGAGGGCTTCTTCAACTGTCCTTAACTATTCTACAAAATCTTCCCTTGAGTCTTCCAGCCTCCAATCCTCATCGCCTCTCTGAACCATCCCGTGACGGAGGGGTTACTGCCTTAAAACAAGGCAGGCAAGATCTGGCATTGGGCATTTTAGGGCCCCCCTTTCCGCTTTAGGAAAGCCCTCATCACACCCCAAATGTCACTCACTGCCTTGACCTTAGACTTCCCAGCCCTCAGTATTATGATTGTTATGGTTTGTGTCTAGGTGTCCCCCCAAAGCCTCGTGCAGTCTTGGGGCAGCTTCTGAAGTTTGTGACTGATTATAGTGGGTTTGAATGCTGCACCTGCCCTGGGGCAGGTAATTTGCATTTCAATGTAAGGAGGGAGGAGAAGTTAGCTGCTTGAGCTGCTGTTACTCCTCCCTTTGTGCTCTTGCTTTTTGCTGCCACCGTGAAAGGTTGCCCTCTGCCATGTGCTGCTCTGCCTTGGAGCCAGCTGAATATGGACTGAAACCTCCAGTATCTGTGAGCTAAATAAGCCTTTCCTCCCTTCATTTTGGGTGTCGGGTATTTGTCCCAGCAAGAGAGAACAGTAACGAAGACAATGATTTAACCAACTAAAATAGCCATATTCCCAATCTCATATCCTTAATATCCTTCCCTCCTGAGGACCCAATCTGAAAGTGAGTCTACAACTCACAGAAAATGGGCACAATTATTTTGGGAATGGCCCAAAAATATTTCCTACAACTATTCTACATTACTTTGGTATTTCTTGCTAACTTTTCTCAGATTTACATCCTTGTCCACAATGTATCAGTAGGAGGAACCCATGCAGGAATTAGGGGACTTCTGCTTTTTTGTAAATTGAACAGAGAAGGCACGCTTTGAGGATTGACAAGAAATTGAAGATACAACTATGAAAATCAATATATTATTTATTTATTTTTTGTATTTTAGGAAAGAGTCTACAGGGCGTTCAGGGTCTCACTACTAGATAGACTAGTGATCCGCCTGTTTACAGCCTCCCAAGAGCTGGTATTACAGGTGTGTGCCACCACGCCCAGTCTCAATTGTCAGCTCAGCATGCACCGGGATTGGGGCCCGCACTCAGGCCCTGGAATCCCCAGGCACCTGTGTCTAATCTGTTGCGCTATTTGGCCAGCCCTGAGAAATCAACCGATTTCTAACACAAACAGGCTTTTCACAAGGTTGGAAATATGTTCACTTATAGAGGTACGTAGTCACCTGCAGGGGGGATGTGTACCTAATGTACAGTTTAGGGATGAGTTCGTACATTTCAACCATTTCCCAAGAATTCCAACGTTCTACATAGAGTTCTGTCCCGTTATCCCACTCACTGGCCTGTTTTTTTCTGCAAGCTAGGTAGCACACGTGGAGCTAGAAGTAGTTTGCAATGTCCCCTTCCATATCTCACTAAGTTGTCACAGGTCACACACAAATGCCCCCACTCCGGCTTCATCTCCGCGCCCCACGCCCGCCCCGCTCTTCCCTAAGAGCCCGGGGGCTGCCCCGCATCTCCTGCCCGGTCCTCCTTCCCGGCGGGCCCGCTCCGGGTGCTTGGGGAAAGAAGCCGGGAGCCCCGACGCCCCGCGCCCCGGCCCCCCACGAGCGCGTCCGGGCCCCTCCCACCCACGCCGGGCGCCAGCGGGCGGGGGTCGAAGCCTGGCCGCCGGCAACTCGCTGACCGGAAGGCGTGGACGGAGGGAGGCGAGACTCGTCCCGGGAACGAGATCGGCAGGCGGCGGCTCCGGAGCGGGCTGAGCGGGGACCAGTCCTG